CAACAAACTTATTTCGTACAACACCAAAAGAAGAATACAGGTTTTTCTGGAATTCCAAAGGATCAGTTCGTTTTATGGAACACTTAAACAGGCTATCTACCGAACATTTGGACTAGAGCCATCTATAGTTGAATTTCACAATTTATTAATATTTCGGAGGTTGTGTTCTTTTTAATGTACCATCATTGAATATTCTACAGAGTTTTTGTACATTATTGTAATGCAAGGCTTTCTCCTTAGGTTATTATTAATATTATTTACAATTCGAAAGGGTAACCTTTAACTAACAGTCTTAATACTTTCTCCATAAAGATTGTTAAAATAAATATACAATTAAAAAATATTTTTAATGATGGCAATCCTATATTAAACTGCTCTGATGTATCTTTAATATAAATATTAATGAAAAGGCTTTCCATACTTTGATGTTTTATTATTTGTTGCGATATGACACTGATTTTGGCAATTAATACTGATATTTTAATATTTAAACGACACACTTAACAATTAACTTAGTTTATTTCTGAAGAATCAGGTTTTTGAGTAATAATAGGGTGTTCATTCAGTAAATGCCTTGTTACTCTGTAAAGTCGCGTCGGCGTTCTTTTTGACATTTGGTTTGATGAAAGTTGTCAACTATGAAAGCCCGTTTCACTGATTCAGCTATTGGGCTCAGACAGGATCCTAAGGTTCTTGTGAACCTACAAAACATTGCGTTCCACCATCGTTTAAAGTTGTGCGTTTGCAAGATTATTTATACTCTAACACCACTCTATTGTACATCTGTGAACCGAGGATAAGTCTCTTGGTAGTTAACTGTTTTCGAATATCTAGCTTACATTGTATACTATCGGCTCCCTCACTTAACAACGTGTTCTTAATTCCTTTGTTTTAGTTTTCTGCAAAAATATTTCTCATATTTCATCAATCCTTCTCTTCTTGTTGACGTGCCATCTCCGCGACGGAGGTTGGCAATCATCATGGCTATTCTGAGCTTAGATTGCTGCTCTGAATAGTTCGATTGATGTGCATCCATACCATTCCCTTAAGTTACGTAACCATGAGATTCTTCCACTTCCTACACTTCTCTTGACCTGGATTTTCCCTTGTATAATTAATTGAAATATGTTGTATCTTTCATTATGCATAACATGCCCCAGGTATTACAGATTTCGTGTCTTGATGGTTTCCAATATTTCCATTCTTTTGTTGACTTTTCTCATAAATCCAGGGGATGATTTTTAGCCAATATTTCGACTTCTTCTCGCTTATTCAAGTACTATTTGTTCAGAGGGAATTCTTGTACACGAATAACAGGATAAATATATCAATTCCTGTCTCTTAAATCTCATCTCAGGTTTCGAATTACTCAGGATACAACCTCGGTCCTTATTTTTGTTTTTTTGTACTCTTTATCATAATTTCTTTTCCGTAATCATTTTATTTCAAAGTACTTTTGTTGAATTCATTGTTTTGTTTGGAATTTTGATGTTAAGTTAGTAATCGTTTTTATATGCCAGTCTTGAAAGTACATTGTACAACGTGTTTGGTATTCTATGGTATTTTTTTGTACTCTAGTCCTCTAAGAAAGCAGTAAGCGTCGCTCCACCAGATATTGGGACCAATTACAACACTATATCAGCACAGGTAAGCCTAATAACAAGAATCTTCATCCATACTAACCAGTAGTACACTATCAGCCATCCATTTTCGTCTTCTGTGGACCTAAAGCAGCAATTAACGAAAATAAGTACCACTAGATAATCAATCCACCAAACCAGACGTCTTGATCGTCCATTATATGCAAGGCTTGTGTTTGTTTTCACTTCTATCTTATTGTTAACATCTACAAATATGTTTTTAATATTATTAAGTGAACTACCACCGTTAAAAGACTTAATGTTGTTCAATATACATTTTAAATTGGAGTTTGGTTCAATTTGGTACTGTATCTTTGGTGAAAATCAATTCTATCTCTGAGAATATCTGAGCTGGCTAGAATTAGCCAAATCATTTTTTGTCGGTACACATATCTGTTTATTCAAAAGTAAATGACCAATATTTTTACTCATACAAATACCAGCGCATGTAATGCTCTAATTTAGAATACAGTGAGAGGGACCTTTTTTGTTTATATTGTCCAATTTGTATTCTCGCCATTCTATTTCTTTTTATAAATTGTTGAGTGTCGTTACAACATGTTTGCTTTCATTGTATGAATGTCATCAATTTAAAATAGCCAAAAAATTGATTTACGAACAAATATTTGACTTTATTATTTTTATAAATTCATCAGAGTAGTTTAATACCAGTTATCAAGGAGAAGTCGACAGTCAAAATACTGAAATAATTGCTTGTTACAAATTTGACGCCTAATTACAGACATTGGGGATAACAATGTAGTCAACTACATTTGATTTTTGGTCCATTCAAAGAATATTCTGATATATTTTTTAATTGACACGTTTGAAATATTTTTGTAAGGCTAAAATATAACATAATACAGCGCAAGAAATTAAACTCAGATACCTTATATACAGAATAGTTTCAAAATTGTAGGCAATAAGATCTCAGAAATAATTGCTTTTGGGTCATCCAATGGCTTACCATAAATTTAACCTGAAATTAAGGCAAAGCGATTGAATAATTATACAAATTTTTAGATAGGCGAAAGTATGGACGAAAAGTGTTCACAGATAAAAATTTTAAGTTAAGGCAAATAGGGTACATATCACTTGAAAATACTAAAACCAGAGATAGAAAATACATTATGATATCGAATAAACGACACGATATAGCAAGTAGTTAAATCAAGAAACAAAAAAAACCAACGCCGTGCATCTTACTGCAACGGTGATATTCACAGCTGATACTGTAGCGCCATCTGGAAACCATCAAGTACTATATTCGTTAATTTAGTATAGTAGCATGGAGCAATTTTATCACATTTTAATCAGACTTCTCCTGAACGATAAACACCTTTTTAATCGATAAATCTAATGTTAATAAAAATAAATAATACAAATGTTTTATGTTCACTCATTAATTAATTGTTAGGAATATTTTCAAATGTAGCTGTATGTATAATTATAAATCCAAGAAATAAATTATTCCTTCATGAAAACGTTGGGCTCAAATATGCTCTAAACCCAAATCTCTCGAATCTAAAGCGAGAATCATTGACTATATGACATATAATCATATAAATTTTATTCCATGCCACTTTTATTTTTTAGGTTAGGTTAGGTTTTAGGTCATTTTTTGAATTTATAATTAAGCACAGCTCTAAAAAATAAAGACTTGAATGTGTGTTTTTAGTAAATCACGTTTAATAGTTATCTAATTGGCCATGTTAATGAAATAAAAAATAAATTACAATCGATACATTCTACATTGACGAATTGAAAAAGAGCTATAAAAATTTAGAGCCTCTACAAGATGTCAAAGATACAAAATATTTTAAGAAAACTACTGACAACCTCTTAACAGTTTATATAATTACAAACCACATCACCTACTAAGTTCCAGGACTATAGGACATGTAGGTGACGCCACTAGGAACAAATCGATAATTTACAAAGTATTCGCCTTCAAACGTCACCTGTCAAAATTTAGACTCTGAGTTTACTAGTTGTTAAAGTGATTTAAATGAATTTACTTGTGCAGTTTTTAATACAATATATAGCTAAAGCGTTGCTCCTTTTGGGAAAAAGGCATAGCAATGGTATTATAAGTGTTAGTTGGACACTTCACCGTCAGAAACAACGACAAAGATATATTATGCTGATTTTAAACACAGCCCTATAAAAACAAATGATGCTAAACGCTTTGGTCGCCCAAATTCGGTAGTTGTCCCGAAAACCATAAACGAAGTCTACAAAATCCTTTTGGTTGGTCGTAAATTGAAGTTGCGTGAGATAGCAGAGGAGTTAAATATATCGATAGGCACTATATTCACCCTTTGGCATAAATATCTGTCAATAAAAAACCTTTGGTTAAAGAATGAGCCTCTTTTTATTAAAAACAACAACGTCTCAACGAGTTAAAGCAGTATTTGCAAATGTTTCAGAGCAGGTTTATGCATGTTGGTGAATTAAGTAAATCTATTAATATATTCTGAAGTCAGATAGTGGGCAATAGCCCCCGTCTAATGCAACTAAACATGTAAACATCAGGAAGGCAACGTTTTGTCTTCAGTTTTACGGGATTCTAAAGATATTTTATTCATTCACTACCTTCACAAAGGAAGAACAATCAATAGTCAATATTATAGAGCGTTATTTGTGCGTTTGAAGAAAGAAATTTCAAAAAAGCTGCCACAAATGAAGAAAAACTGCTATTTCACCAAGACAATGCAAGGTGTCATAAATATATGAACAACAGTACATCAATTGTAGCACAAATTGCTTCCATGCTCAATGATTTCTTCAGATTCGCTCTTCTCCAGGGACTATATACGTTAAAAACCTCAAAAGGAACTTGTAAACTGAACATGGGTAAAAATACTACTACGAAACATAACCATTTCTCGGTAACTGCAATCAGTGAAGACCAAAGAATAGTAGTGCGATGACTTACACATGAGATGAAGCAACATTCGACAAAAAACCAGACAGAAACCTCCTACACAGATAAAAGAACTAGAGCAGACAGTTTCTTCCTCAGATTCTAGAGCAGACTAGATCATCGCAGTATAAATCTTCTTTCAATATTATGTACCTTCGACATCATACGCCCACATAAAATTCAAGCACCATCAAAAAATCTTCCGCGGTAGAAAGATCTCATTCTAGATTCTCATTATTAAATAACTTATTGTTCGACAAATAGGCCTCCGCCTCATTGATAAATTTCTTAAGTGGTCAACATTGCAACCAACAAATATGCAAGAAAAATGCCTTACATTAACCTTTTATCTCCAACACTATACGAATTTCAATAGACATATAGCGTTAAGAAGGTGGCGAATCATTTCCTTGGGATCCAAAGGGGCAATTACCTCACAGTATGACACAACACCTACAATATCTCTGTCGGTTTCCGCCTGCCATTGGCGGTGGAGTCACCGGTGCGAAATAGGCATGCACTTTTATATTGGGTAAGTGACTCTGAAACAAAAACACATGTTATTATATACATATAAAGCTACAACTAAGTTTTTATGTTTAAAAATAATATTATACTAAACACAAACACGCTATACGAGGTCTGGATATTAAATAACGGGACTGCTTATGAAAAAGAGTTTTATTTAAAAATTATTCTACAATCGAATGCTCTCCTTCAATATATTCCTCTTACCTCGCCACACACTGTTCTATTCGTTTTTTCAATTGGTCAAAGCAACGTCTTCTTTTGTTGAAGAGCTTTTAGAAGCTCCACCATTTTTCGCTTCACCTTTTCCATCGACTCGAACCGGATTCCTTTTAAGGCAGAATTGATCTTCGGAAACAGGAAAAAGTCACAGGGTGTTAAATCAGGTGAGTACGGCGGGTGTTCAAGCACTAGATAAGCTTGGTTTACAGTTTAACCCTCTGGAACCCATTTAGTCATCACGATGCGGTTAATGTCGAAAAAAAGATTAGCATGGCTTTAAATTTTGATTTCGACATCCTTGCTTTTTTCATTCTTGGCGATGCAGGAGTTTTCCAGTGCATGGATTGTCGCTTAGTTTCAACATCGTATTTGAATATCCAGTTTTCATTGCAAGTGATTGCAAGTTTTCCATTAATTCAAGCTCTTCAAGTAATCTCTCAAGAAAATCTGAGCAGATCTGTTGACGGACGAGCTTTTGGCCAGGGGTCAAATTTTTTGGGACCAACTTCGCAGATGATTTCTGCATTTACACAAAACACAAAGAATATGAAAAAGCAATTAAAAACTTGGATAGTATCTATCAGCTACTTCAAAAATGGAGAGCAAAAATAACGATGAAATAATTAAATTAGGAGAACATCAATATCCATTAAAAAATATTTATAAAGGTCAAATATTTAGGGATGACACTTGACAAACATTTGACTTGGAAGGATCATATTGAGGATATGTTAAACAAATGCACAAAAAATACTACTGCATTTTATTTGAAGAAACTTATTAGAATATCGACCTTCTTGTTATGTCCTTGCATCTTCAAACAGGTCTTTAGTATATTTATAACGAGTATATTTATCATCTATTAGTGATCTAGTTACAGTATTATGTTAACCTAATCATCATACTTACCCTAAGTCTCCTAATTCCAACTCTAGTGATTAACTGACAGTCGTAAAGTTCTACTCGTTGCAAATTGTGACACGAAGTTAAATGTTCAAGAGAAGCATCTGTGACAAGGGGACAATTGTCTAATTCTAAAACTGTTAAATTCTCAGCTGCACATGGGGACATCGACAAATGACGTATACCTTCATCTGTTATTAGCTCGCAGTGCGATAAGGTCTAAAAAAGAAAAGAATATTATTAAACAAATGATATATTGCTTTACTTCAAACTTTGCAAATTGGTCGTACAATGATACCTTACGTTATAGATGGTTAGCATAGAAAGTGATTTTTTGCATGCTATTGTTACACTAGCAGATGTTTTCAAGACGTGTATGACTCATATTCGCGTAACGGAAACAGAGCTGTATGCAAAGTAATTTAAACACTCACGCGTTGTGAATTTGTTTATTTATCACATCGCGTTTCGGGTATTTTTGCCGTGCACAGATCGTGTTGTGGATCAATTACATTGACCCACAATGCGAAACTACGAATTTCATCGGAAACACACGACGAATTTCGCTTTATGGCCAATATAAATACCCACAAAGAGAACTACAGATATCGCGTATCGAATCTTACCAGTAACACGAGTTTTATTCAGTGTAGTTTCTGATAATTTTTAATACAATGGGTGAATCAATCGAAAACCTTAGAATTCGAGGACGGTTTGAATAGACTTTACATGGAGTCAAGTATTAGGTCGACGCTACTTTTAGAAGGTGACTATAAAAAACTAATTTATGATGTTAAAGAAGCACAAGAATTGTGAAGATTCGGCAAAGCACTATTATCTAAACATTATCGAAGACTCAATCGATATGAATTACTAAACATTGGAGAAAACTAACATGTAATAGCCAAAAGACACACTAACGAAGAGGAAATCAAATTTGCACCCTATATACAAGAAGGCAAAATTGACTGCAATTCCAATGATCAGTTAACCCAAAGAAGTAAGAGAATATTGAATGAGAGAGAAAAATCACATAAAATGATGAGAGTTCTGGCATCAAATTTGATATGTGAGTCAAATAAAAGATTTGCTCCTTTAAAAAAAGGGACTAATGTTTTGATTCCGAGTGCCGGATGTTGATAGAGGCCGATTAACTCCAAAAAATATATTAGCCATTGTTTTTGAAATTAATATTGATGGCTTGTACAAATCCAGTGGTCCATTCTCAGTACGGAGTGTGCAGTACAGATAGTGGACCATTTTCAAGAAATGAAATCCTTCAAACCGATTCGCAATTCATGTTTGAATCAAATATATACTCGGTTCACAATTTGTTGATAGCTCACTACAAGTTTAATCCTAATTAGAGAACTGAAATACAGAGAGGATAGGTAATACGATATAATAGTAAAAACCAACCTGAAACTGACGATTTAAGATGTTTTCGACTAACCCACCTTGTATCTGCCGGAATACAATACAGCGGTCAAGCTTATAATCCGATTAGGAACGTATTTTGGCCGACCAGTGTCGTAGAGTATATGATTGAAACATTTATTTGAACTAAATAAATATATTTTTTAAATTGTATTTTTGTTTTAATAAAACTTATAATAAAATAAAATATTTTATTCAAAAATAAAGTTTTTTGCCATTTGTAAAAGATACATTTATTTAATTAAGGGGAAAGGCACCAAATGTGTTTTAAATGTATCCATTATTTTCGAATTCGGAGAAAACTAATAAATATTTTTGAAAAATTTAAAAGCAGAATAAAAGATTACATTATTACTGAGGGTATTATATATGTGTATACTGATGTATATTACAGAAAGTCCCTGAAAACTTCTACAATGTTTATTTTATTATGTTATGCAACAGGGGTGAAAATAAAAGAGAGAATATAGTATAATTTTTAATTGAAAATATTGCATGCAAAAGAAACTTTTTATTTATTCTAATAAATATTTTATTCTGCCTTTAAATTTTTCCAAAAAGGCTTTTTAGTTTTCTCAGGATTTGAAAAAAAATCGATACATTTAAAACACATTGAACATTTTGACAGGCGACGTTTTGCGCCTTTCCCCTTTAATACCTTACGATTACAACTACTATCACTTACCTTATATAATTACGATTAGAAAACTATTCAAATTCAAAATAAATAGGATCAACTTCGGAATCCGAGTCGTCTTGAGGGTTAATAATTAGCGGTTGTGTCTCTACGGTCGCATCAATTATGTTATCAAGATCCCACATTTTTTGTTCTTCTTCTATTACATGTCTTACTGCATCTTTCCAGTTTTGTTCTGTAATGTGTTGTAAAGACTCGTATAACAATTCACGTACAGCTTGTATTTTATATGACGTATTTTTTCTAGCCACATAACTTTTCATTTGTGCCCAAATGAGTTCAATTGGATTTATTTCGCAGTGGTAGGGTGGAAGTCTAAGGACTGTGATGTTTCTCCTTTCCGCCATTTTGTCAACTACGTATTTCTTGAACTTAGATTTGTGTTGCCGGGCAATTTTTAAAAGTTCTGCTTTTACCATTCCATCTTCGTAAGGCAGGTACTTATTCCGCAGCCAGTCAAGAATATCCTGTTTTTTTTCACGCAGTCGTTGGAAGTCTTTCTACTAGTCGTGAATGATAAGGTGCATTATCTAATACTATAATTGAATTTGGTGGTATGTGTTCAATCATCTGCACAAAATACTCTTCGAAAACATCAGCTGTCATCTCCTCGTGATAGTCTTTTGTGCTTTTGGACTGAAATTCCAACAAACCATGCTTAACAAATCCTTTTTCACTGCCAATGTGAGAAATTATTAATCTACTGCCTTTACCAGAAGGTGGGGAGATACCAGTAGACCAACCTTCCATAAAGGCTTGCCTGGAGCTTAATATATTTTTATCTGACCAAACTTTTTTTAGAGTATGACCTGAGTTTACCCACGATTCATCCTGGTAGAAGATTGGCCTTCCTTCAGCCCGGAATTTTCGTATGGATCTTAGATAATTTCTTCTCCAACATATTATCTCCTCCGGTCAATCAAAAGTGATTTTCGGTCTGATTTCTCCCACCGGAAATTTAATTCTTTTAAAACTTGCCACAATTTAGTTCGTCCGATATGAGGCAAATCCGGATCATCTCTAACTTCTTGTAAAATTTTATTTAGGTTTGGTATTTCTTTTTTGAAAAAAAAATCCATGAATTTTCCTTCGAATACCATTTTTGGCAAATTCATCAAGTTCAATAGGCTTTTTCCCTCTCTTTAAGTGTTCGTTTGTGTTTGGGTTAGCTATACCGTGTTTTTTTCTTTCTGATAGGAACCTATATATAGTTGACTCCCCTACGCCAGTCATGTTGGCACAACTTTCGACTATGTTGCGAACAGTGTTTGTGGGATTCTGAGAAACCAGAGCATCGTGAACATTCAGGACAATAGTCTTCTCTCTTGGTGAATAGACAGACTTACTGACTGTACGCAACAGTACCGGTGTAAAACTTGATGATGAAGCCATCACAAACAATCCAACAAAACGAGCACGAGCGAAAGGTACGTATATGTTCGTAGGTATATGGAATAAAAAATCACTCACGCACTGCATATAATTCGCAAAAGAAATATTCGAGACGCTAATTACTGCCGTAGAAGCGGAAACACCGACGAGCCGTAAATTACATGCGATCAAAAACGTATTAAACAAACAAATTGTTTTCGTTCGTAATAACTTCACCCTTTTAAGTTAAGTTTCGAATATAAACTAAACAGACGAGGTACGTGGCCAAATCCGGCATCTATACCCATTATATTATTAAAAATCTGGGAATTCCATCCTAATTATCTTGCAACCGATAGTACCTTCGGATATAAATACCAGGTTTTCTAGTAAAGTGATTAAACGCGAAGATTAGTATTGAAATATCCAAAGAGATAAGGTATTCTTATTTACAAAATTGTTAATGGTTAAATTATTATTTTTATTAATATAATATAATAACCAACATTAGCCGTGAAAGTTTTAATTGTTTTTTACTAAATATATCAGTATTAAAACATTATTAATATTAATATTAATTTTAATGAATAAACACCTCAGGAACGCCTATGATGATACAAATTTTACGACCGTTTGATGATTTTGAGGCATATTTCGTGCTATCAACAATTTGTGAACAGAGAATAGTAGTAAGAAAATACCCTTGCGAACTGCAGGAAATGTGTCATCGAAAGGTTCTGGTAAAGGTTTTCTAAAATACGACTATTAAAGGTTTCGTGGCGACAATAAATGTTCCAGTAAACAAAAGAATAAACAATGTAATTTAAAGTGTCATGGATCGCTGACATGCAAAAATAAATGAAGAAATTTGGTTCTAAAAATTTTTGTGTTTTAAAACTTATTTTTATCTGCACCAAAGATAATTGTTTAAGCAACAAATATACAAAGATATAATTATTACAACAAAAATATTATCATGAACCTTCATAAAAGTATCAATGAAGCTACAGCTTTATAGAAACATAAGAAAACTGAATATCTAACGCAAGAACATGGAAACAGTATTGGAAATATAGTAGAAGGATATTCGGACAAACAAGACGTCAAAAAACAAGGTCAAGAAAGGTCACGTGGTCAATAAACTCCGCCCATTAGAAAGAGATGCAAGGACTGCTCGCATCTTTTTTGTCTGTCGCATTGGGGGAACGGATTTGGATTGCAGCGGGAAGTCTAGGTATTACTTGTATATGAATTAATTTATTAAAAATTAACTTTACCGCTACTCTGACCTTTCTTTCTGTGAAACATAACTGTTTCCTTGATTCATCAAGTATTAATTAAAAATTTGAAGCTTACCAAATATTCGATCCTAGGACATCCCATGGCTAAATGAATGAGGGTAGCGTCCGTTATTAGGACACATTCGTCTAAGTCCATCTTCTCTAAATATCTGCAATTCTAAAAGAATGACATATATGACATGTACTGTTTTAAAAATTTTTACGTTTTTTTTAAACAACTGTATTTAACACAAAACTCACTTAATTAGCGTACGAGCACACGAACAATGGTCTAACGAACCATAACAAAGATCAGACTAAACTTATTTGAAACCAACTTTGAGGTAGGAAATCATACTCCCTTGTGATAAATAGTTCTATTAAGACAACCCTGTTACATGGTGTGTGCGTGTGCTCGAGGGTTATATGATACTTTCTCCACATACCATATAAAAATAATTGTGATTTTCACCTAGTAGTACTTATTATTCATATAGTTAAGTATCAGCACCACATTTATCAGTTATATTTCCATCCCTAATAACTAACAACTGAAAACATTTCAAGATTTTTTTATAAAGGTGATATTTATCTCAGATTTCGTTTATGTATTTAAATACTTACTCGTGCTAAAGCTTGAAAGGCAGCGTCAGTAAATAGCGTACATCCTGCGACTTCTAATGTGGATAAAAGATGGCAATTTGATGCTAAAGCTACGAGAGACGTGTCCGTTAATCCTGAACATCCACTCAAACAGAGATAATGAAGTCGAGGGCATTTATCTGCTAGTGACTGTACTGCTTCATCTCTAATATTCTAAAAAAACATGTAAGTGTTATTTTTATGATTGAAGCTTATCTACTATGATTTTTGCGCAATGATTGTTTTAAATATACAAACTAAGCCTGAATCAAGAAGATGACATGAGAAACATCCATTCTTGTAACGGTGGTTAATATACAATCTTTCAGTAAGTACGCGACTAGCGCTTTCTGAATCAACTAGAAACAAATCTAATACCATGACATTCTCTGTACCTTTTCTTTAAAGAGCCTAGATGGCGCTTGATATTTTCATTAAAAATTCTATTTGATTCAGAATGTAATAGTCCATGGTCGTCTTAATCATCAGACCTTTACATTAGATGCGGCAACACTGTCGACCTGTCAAATAGTGGACCTATTTATAGATATAATAGTAATAGTGGACCTACAGCGCGAAGAATATAATTTTAAAGAGCAATATTTGATTAAATTAACACAAAACATTATTTATTTTACTAAGATAATATAAAATACATTGATTATAAATGTGATATAATAATATTTTAAAAGAACAGATAGGTGATCAAAATTAAACCATATGAAAGAAATGTCTTGGGCACTTTTAAGTTTAGAAATTCTTTTTGTGCACTTTTGTCTTTTGTAAAATTGTATTTTATCCTGAGTTGATTTACTATAATTGGTAATAAAAATATTAGTCAAAATAAGTAACATTAAATCAATAAGAACTTAAGTTTGAGGTTGATTAGATGAACATAAACATAACATATGCTGACGACACTGTCCTTCTGGCAGGAACACTAGAAGAACTTCAATACTAGCTATTACAAGCTATTACTAGATAATACAGAAATTGAACCAATATCTTCGTACAAATACCTTGGAGCATGGATCACAGATGATACTGATGAGATAAAAGAAATAAGATACCGCATTGAAATTGCACGGTCAACTTTTAATAGAATAAGAAAACTTTTTTGTAATCGCGATATCAATATATCGCTCCGGATAAGAATGCTTCGATGTTATATTTTATCTAGCCTTTTGTATGGGGTTAAAGCTTGGACACTTAAAAAATCCAACATCAAAAACCTATAAGCATTCGAAATGTGGTGTTACCGACGTATTTTGAAAATATCATGGATGGATCGCAAAACAAACGAACAAGTTTTGAACAACTAGGCAAACAATGCGAAGTTTTAAATCCATAAAAATCAGGAAATTGGAATACTTGGGGCACATCATGAGAGGTGAAAAATACGAATTACTAAGGAATATAATGCAGGGTAAAATCAAAGGTAGAAGAAGCGTAGGAAGACGTAAAATCTCGCGGCTACGCAATATCCGTGAATGGTTTGGATACAGTTTCAATGGAACTATTTAGGCGCGTAACCAACAAAATTATAATTATCAGAATGATTTCCAATCACCGATAGGAGCGGAACTTGAAAAACATGAACATGTCTTTCTAAAATAAATGTTTAAGTCTTGGAAACATTTTTGAAGCAGTACTTTGTCTAAGTACTTTTTCATGGAAAAGTGTTTAACATACCATAAGCAGAATACATATATAAACACAAACAGGTATTTTTAAAGGTCCTCTGTTCACTGTAGCCAAATTTCGATGTTATGGTTGGATGATTAAGACGATTATGACTTCTTTTTAGAGTGCCGTCTTCCTACGGAAGTTGGCAATCATAATGGCTATTTTTATGGTTGAACTTGCCGCTAAACAAATCAATCGATCTGCATTGATACCAATCACCTAGATTCTTCAACCATGAGTTCTGCCTTCGGCCCACAGATCTTCTTCCTTGAATCTTTCCCAGTATTATGAGTCTCAAAATTTCATATTTTGGTCCCCTCACCACGTGGCCTAGGTATTCCAGTTTTCTGGTTTTTATAGTGGTGATTAGTTTTGTTTCTTTACTAACCCTCTCCAGTACTTCTTTATTTATGATTCTATCAGTCCATGATATTTTTAATACTCTACGGTATAACCAGAGTTCGAAAGCCTCGATTCCTTTTAAATTGCATTTTTTTAATGTCCAAATCTCAGCTCCATATAATAATATTGAAAATATATAACAGCGAATGGTACGTAGTCTGATCTCCAAATTTGGATTTTTGCACGTTAGAGTGGCTTCTTCTTTTTCTTCCTTCTAGTATGTAGGCTTTAAAGCCTGTGTCTACTTGAATATTAGCCTCCTAAATTGTTTAAATTGTTGCACCATCTTTTTCTTGGTCTGCCAATACTTCTTTGTCCATTTGGTGACTTATCTCGTGTTATTCGTACTATTGTATCCTCTGCCATTCTACTGATGGGTTCGTTCCACTCCTGTTTTGCTCTTCCTTATGTTTTCGCAATGCTCTTCTTATGTTTTCGCTTCTCTTCCTATCCAACAGACTTATCACAGATATTCGTCGGAGTATTTTCATCTCTGTTGTTTCTAGTAGTCGTCTCGTTTTAGATGTGTCAGGTCTTGTCTCCGTCGCGTATGTTAATATAGGTCTAATTGCTGCTTTATAGATTCTTGTTTTTGTGTCTTGTCTTAGGTGTTTGTTCTTCCAGATTGTGTCATTAAGAGAACACGTCGATTTACTTACTTTTAAGCTTTGTTGTCGTACTTCTTCTTCAGTGGCTTCATTCGTATAAATGCTGATCTGGCAATCTCTATTTGCCTGTTTATTTCTGTAGTATGGTCATTGGTTTCATTGATCAGAGTTGCCAAGTACTGATATTTTTCTACTTGTTCTATCACGTTACCATTGATTGTAAATAGGTGATGTATATTTTGTGGTCTTGTTTGTAATTTGCATGTACTTCGTTTTTTTAGCGTTTATAATAATTCCCATCTCAGCACTATTCATACTTAAGCTTTTAAGATGTTGTAGATCTTCTATACTCGTTGCTATGATCACAATGTCGTCTGCATATCGTAAGTTGTTAATTACTCTTCTGTTAACGGTAACTCCCGCTTCGATATTATTGAGCGTGTTTTGGAAAATTTCTTCAGAATATAAGTTAAACAAAACTGGCGATAAAACACATCCTTGTCTAACTCCTCTACAGATCTTCATTTCTTCTGAGTGTTGCCCATCAATTAGGGTTATGACTAGTCGCGTGCAAATTATGTTTCTCATTTCGTCTTCTTTCAAGCTGCATCTGATGATGCCTAAAGGCTGAAATACGTATAATACAGTGGCAAATAGACAAGATATAAATGTTTCTGTTTCTCTTAAGGCCGATCCTCGCGATTCTGGGCATAGGTAAATTTCAATGTAAAAGTTTATATCAAATAACGCAAAAACTATGGCAGATATTGAGATGATTCTTTTTTTATATGGAAGGTCTAAAAAAGTTCTAGTGCACTATTTGGTTGTAAATTAATAAATTGTTTAAACAATATTTTTTTTTCAAATATTTTTGGTTAAAATAAACGTAAAATTTTTTTTTTTTGAAATAGGGCACTACAGAATTTGACCCACTTTCCGAATCTGTTTTTATTTTTAACATAAAGTGTAACACAAAGCAGCTATTTGATATAAACTTTTAAAAAATTTCAAATTTCTGCTAAATGCAATTTTCTCTCCGTCAGCACAGGTGTCCTTGTCGGTAGCTTCTGGATCCTCGCCAGGTAGGTAAAACCCTCGGAGGAGGATAAATAAAGTTGAATAACATTATTAGGGCTTATTTCGACTTTTAACAAACCAGTGTGTTTATTGTATTTAAAATAGGAAATATTATATAAATAAGCAGTAAGTACCTATAATTTTATTAAATTTTTATATGAATAGAAATATTTTCTGTTGATTTTCCATTTTCCTTCTAAATATTTATACTGTTTTTACAATAATACAATTGTTTCAGTATTTGCTTATATAATAATAATTTATTATATAGAAACAGCGTAGAGTTTTGGTCAATCATCCAGTACATTTTTTTTTGTATTTCAATCAGAATTATTATTTTCTTTTCTTCTTTACATGAGCTCAGAGTAATAACCAAATATTTTGCAGTAGATTTGAATATGAAATTTAATTATTTATATTTATTGCTCAGCAACCTACCAATCGTAAAATCAAATACTGCTCAAAGAAACAATGTACAGTCTCGGAACTGGATTGATACTATGAAGACGACTACGGCAAGAAATAAGGACAAGCGAAAAACATCCAAAACCCAGATGAGAATTACTTGAATATCAGATCACTCAACTCAAGGGACCAAGAAATAACCCAAGTGTTGAAAGAGAAAGAAATAGACATGTGTGCTCTACAGCAAACAAAAAATAAAGGAAAAGGTCAATCAAAATTAGGTGAATACATACTAATCTACAGTGGAGTAGCAAAAGAAAACAGGACCAAAGAAGGTGTAGCCTTACTAATACACCAAAGGTATCAAAATTACATCAAATAGTGTCAATACATATCAGAAAGAATAGTAACATAAAAGATAAGAATGGAGAAGAAAAACCTGAACATTATCGGAGTATACGGCCCAGAAAATAATAAGCCTCAAACAACAAGGGAAGTGTTTTACGACCAATTACAACAAGTAGTAGATCAAGTTAAAGAAAAGATGATAATTCACAGCTAATTTCATTATAATAATTAAGGAACCTCATTTTTTGCCATGTTAAGGAATGGGATTTGTATTTTTTGTTAAAAAATTTGCACAAACATTGTACCTTTACAGGACCCTCTACGAATTTTCAAAAATGTAGTTCAAATGGTGACTAGGAAGAATCTACAAATCCATACCGAATAAGCAATTTCAAACTAATAAACTTTTCTATATCTCTGGATCTACTCAATGGATTTCTATCATTCTTTTTTAAATTGTATGTAATTTTCTACGTACATTAGGAATTAGTAATTAGTTTATATATTAATAAATTAAAAATAGTCTAGTTTGTTTAAACAATTCGTGCAAAACAATTTTCTTCCAAAAAGCTATTTTTTTAATACCAGTATCAATAATCATAGAAACAGTCGAGTTTTTTGCATTAAATTGTCAATAATTAAAAAACAGCTCCAGATTCAAGCAAGATTCAGATTCAAGGCAAGAAACAAGTAGGTTTTTTTCCTAGAGGTCTACAATAACTAAAAAGTTGTCAGTTAATCAAATTCAATATCAAAAATCAAAATTGGAAATGATAGCGTAATTAAATTATTTCCTTCCTTCAAGAAATTTTAAAAAGAACTGATTTCTATTACTATCCAGTGCAAGGACAGTTATTTTGTTATTTATATCGAATAGAGAATACTGTTAGTTTGCGGTATGGACCCCAAAAAATATTTTATTCGAAAAGATTGATAAATATATGGAACGTGGGAAATATGCTACAAAAATTTCAAGATTTTTATATAATTTTTATTTGAAACACCTTCTGAAGAAACATAGACATAATTCATATTTAATAGTATCATTTTATCAATTTAATGATCGTGATACTAATTAGATAAGATTTTTATTATAATTTTTATTTGAAACACCTTCTGAAGAAACATTAGACATAATTCTATATTTATATAGTTTCATTTTATCAATTTTAATGATCGTGATACTAATTAGATAAGATTTTTATTATAATTTTTATTTGAAACACCTTCTGAAGAAACATTAGACATAATTCTATATTTATATCGTTTCATTTTATCAATTTTAATGATCGTGATACTAATCAAATTTCTATGATATATAATAATAATCTTTTTTTATAATTTTTAACTTTAATCTACGTAAACTTCAGACACGTTAAACTTCCGTAAAAAAAATAACAAATAAATTATGTATGTACATTTGTTACATTGTAAATTTATGAATAGATTATATTACTTTGATCTGTTATTATATTTACTCAAAACACCACTAAAGAGATTTATGGTCTTATTGTAGCCAAAACCTGTCACTGTAGGGGTTGTCTCGGTGTATAATGGGCTCGAGTAAAAGGTAAACGCATTTTTGACCTAAGCTTGAGAGAGATACGAAGTTTAGAATATTACTTCATGACATATTTGTTTTCGTAAAGAAAGAAATTTTTGAAATAGAGATAGCAAACTGAAATTTACCGTTAGGATTATCGAGGATGAGCCTTAAAATGGAAAGTTTCAAATTATTTTTTGAATAAATATGACGGCGTTTTTAGACATTGATCGAGACAAATAAAAAGAGCTAGGTCGCTAGAAGCCACTGATATGACTGTTGAGGAACTTGGATGACACTTATGTCTAGGAATGAGTGAATATGTGAGTGAATATTTAATGTGTTATTTCTATAAAGCCGAAATATTAAAGATTTTATATTATTTAATATTATTATCATATACGTAATATATATTCTACTTACATTACATCCTTGCAAATTAACTACTTCCAACTCATGGCAAAACCTCGCCAAGCAAATAACAGCCCGGGAAGTGATATGCTTACATCCTTTACTAATAAAGCTCTTCAACCTCGTACATTTTCTGGCTAAGGCTTCGACGCCGTTCTCCGTAATGTTACTACACCAACTTATATTTATATGCGTTAAATTCGGACAACCGTCACTTAAGGCTTTAAGAGAAATATCGGTTATAGAGGAGCAGCTGTCCAAATTGAGTTTCTGCAATTTGGGACAATGGCGGGAGAGGGACGTGCACGTGGCGTCGGTGAGTTTTTTGCAGGTGTTGAGGTTAAGATCCTCGATGTTCGGACATTCTTGAGCTAAGGTTTTTATTGAGCCGTCTGCGATTGATTGGCATCCTCGGAGGGATAACTGGCGAAGGAAACCACCACATCGATGTGATATGTTATCTAGGATTGCACCCTGAAACAATAATTATCTTGTGTATTTTTTTAATGTTAAATATTAGGGTTGTCAAAAGAATATTCCAGAATACAGAAAGAACTAAATGTCTAAACAAAACAAACCAGAACCAATAAAACGGCTCCGCCTGCATGACGGCTGGGCGAATTGAGTAGTTTAGCTGCCATGTTGCCGGTCCCAAGCCCGGATAAAGGAGGAAGGGGAGGAGTAACAACCTCGTAAAAAAACCAGGGTTCATCTGGCCCGGATGATAGCACCCTGTAAGGGCCCCTGCCTAGGGTACAGGCGAAGCTGCTGCCTTGTAGTTAGATGCTGAACCATCAAAGGCTAGAGGAAGAAAACCTTGACGACAATCACCCGGTCCTCTAGGTTGGGGGTTGAGGCATTGGGCTAACTCCTCAATACTCAGAAAAATGTACAAATGTTAAAAAGCCAAATCTACAGCCTCGGAACGGATGGAATAAAACACGACGACTTAAGCTACGAAAATGGATCAAGAATATAGGAACATGGAATGTACAGGGTCTCTCTACGAAACTCAATGAAGTAATGCATGAAATAAAGAAGCTCAATATGGACAATCGTGGTGTTAACAGAAACCAAGAAAAAAGGTACAGGGTCAGAAAACTTAGGGCATTTCGACCATTTCTATAGCGGCATATCAAAAGAAAAAAGAGCACAACAAGGAGTCTCAATAATTATTCGTAAAAGCCTAAGAAGATATATCACCACTTGGGAAGCCATAGATGAAAGACTAATTAAAAATAAACCTCAATATACATGGTCATAAACTAACAATAATAGGTGTATATGCAGTTAACGATGATGCACTGGTTAACAAGAAAGAAGAATTCTACGAGAAACTAAACCGAGAAATAACATCGATAGGAAATACGAAGGAATTAATCCTGCTTGGAGATTTTAATGGCAGGGTCGGAAAAAAACAAAACTATAAAATAGTTGGTCCTTACGGAGAAAGCATAACAAATGACAATGGGACCAGACTTATCACAATATGCGAACAGAACTAGCTCCGTATTACAAATGGATTCTATCAGCATCGAGAAGTACACAAATACACCTGGGGACAGAGAACAAGGAATCTAAAATCTATAATAGATTACTTGATTGTACGACAAAGATCAAATCTTAAAATCTACGACGTAAGAGCTTATAGAGGCGCAGTTTGTGGAAGCGATCACCATTTCTTAAAAGCAAAAATAATGTTTTCAAGAAGAAGCCAGAATGAACAACCAGTAGTTCGCTCAGAGATGGCAGAAGATGTAAGATATAATCTTATCAGCCTAGATCAAGATAGTGTAAAAATATTGTATCAAAACAGACTGAACGAGAAACTTGAAAAACATAAATTTCAATAACATCGAAGACCACTACAATTACATTAAAGAAAGTATTCACTCTGCAGCAAAAGAAGCGCTTGGATATTACGAAAAGAAAAACAAAAATACTCCATACTGGTGGGATGAAGAAATAGACACAGCGATAAAACAAAAGAAACAAAAGTATGAACAATATTTAAGTGCAAAAACAGATACAAATTGGTCTTATACAAAAACCATCAAGCTAAGGTGAGACAAATGATAAGACAGAAAAAAAATGAATCCTGGGATCAAAACTGTCAAAAATTAAATACGTACATAGAGGAACTAGAAGTACAGAAAGCTGGAAACTTATTAAATCTCTTAGGACCAACGACAAGAAAAAAGATTTAATCTCACCAATTTCGTTAGAAACATGGGACATGTACTTCAGTAAACTGTTACAAGAAGACCGAATGGAATTCAAAATAAAAGAAAGTAACCAAAACATACGCGTTGAAGCATCTCCTATAAGAATCACGAAAAAGGAAGTAAGGGATATCTGTATTTCACTCAAAAACAAAAAAGCGCCCGGACCTGACAATATACCCTCAGAACTGATAAAATATGGAACTGAAAAACTATATGAGCATTTGACAATACTCTTTCAAAACTGCTTAAACAAAGTAGAGGTTCCAGCCGAATTTAAAACCTCAACCATTTCAACTTTACATAAAAAGGGAAACAAACAAAATTGCGACAATTACCGTGGAATAGCAGTTACTAGTACCATTAGTAAAATCTATGGGAAAATGATCAAAAATAGAATAGAAAGAGAATACACTGATATGGAGGCAGAAGAACAGGCGGGTTTTAGAGCTGGTAGATCGACCATAGACCACCTTTTTTGTATCACCCAACTTATAGAAAAAAAAGGTTGCTGTAGATCAAGAAGTCCACTTTTTGTTTGTTGATCTAAAAAAGGCCTACGATAGCATCCCTCAAAATAAGTTATGGAACACTCTCAGACAAACGAACATCAACTCAAATCTCATAACAGCAGTGGAAAAACTATATGAGAACGCCAACGCCAAAGTTAAAATAGGAACGAATGTTTCCAAAGGTTTTGTAGTAGACAAAGGACTGAAGCAGGGATGCTGCTTAGCGCCGACACTTTTCAAAATATATCTGGAACAAGCATTAAAACTCTGGAAGCGGAAATGCAGCGGCATGGGTATACAATTAAACAATAACAACCTGTACACTCTATGTTTTGCTGATGATCAAATTGTGATTGCTAACGAATATGACGACCTAGAATACATGACTCGAAAATTAATCGAAGAATACAAAAAATGGGGATTAGAAGTCAACATAGATAAAACAATGTACATGAACATCGGTGGTAAAGAACAAAATCTAGTTTTAAAACGACGGACAACACATTAAGTACAACAATAAATATTCCTATTTAGGAGTAGAAATCACAGACGACGGCAAATCAGATCAGGCTATAAAAAAAAACGAAACACTCAGGGTAGAAGGGACATATCTCAACTAAATAGTATTATCTGGGATCAACATATATCCAAAAAAAATAAACATCGAATATACAACACTATTATAAAGAGCATAGTAATGTATGGAAGTGACGTGTGGCAGTTAAAGGCAACTACTGAAAGAACACTACAAGCCACGGAGATGGACTACTGGAGACGGGCCGCAGGAAAATCAAAACTCGAAAGAATTAATAACGAACGTATACGAGAGGTTATGGGAGTCACACATACGATTGTCGAAGATAATAAGAGTACAACAACTAAAGTGGTATGGACATGTGCAGAGAATGCCAGAACATCGTCTGCCCAAACAGATATAGATTGGTCACCACATGGAAAGAGAAAAAGAGGCCGTCCCAGAAAGAGCTGGAGAGAAGGAATAGACAGAGAGATCCGAGAGAGAGTTTAGACGAAGATCTTTGGAAGGTACGAGATGCATGGAGATTGGCATCGAAGACGTCGGAGGACGTTTTTAAACCGATTAGATATATATACCAATAAAACGGTAGGTAAAAGTTTAAAAAAAAAAGTAAAAGTATTTAGAAAGAAAGAGATGAAGAGAGAGAAAAACCATATTTTATATATGGTTTAGATGTTTAGTTTTTGTTTGAACGTCCGCTTACCTCTACATCTTTCTGAAAATCGAAGAGGTCGATCCGCTGCCAATTTGAGCCGTCTAATGCTAAAATATTCCACGCTTTCGACACTTGCGCACATCTGCATAATGAAACGACGTCTAAGTAGGAAAAAATACGTAAGAGCAGTTCCTTTGGTAGTTTCTTATTGATCGGAGCTTCATCTTCTACAAACACCTTGTTTAACTGAAAGAAAAAAACGAATAAATATAGTTTATCGCCAACCATCAGAAAGTCATTCATTATTGTACTTATTTGCGGCAGTAAAGTACTACTTTGTTGTACTGAAAAAAAAAGAACTTCAAGTTGATTGAAACTGAATGTCAGTGATTGGCAGTAATCGATTAATTATTTATGATTCAGTAAATTTGTACTGTAAAGTGATACTAGTAGGAAAGTTTTGGGGAAGTTTTGATTTTTTCATTCCATATGTGTTTTGGGGTGCTAAATCTGAATCTGAGGTTTGCGGACAAAATTTCGTGACGCAACATTTAAAAAACCAGAAGAAATCGGTTATTTTTTGCTTTTTTCCGGTTTTTTGCTTAAAACTCGAAAACTGTTAACTTTTAGTAAATGGTCTGTTTACAGAAATTAAAGTACTTAAAGTTCTGTACAAATGTCACTATTTTGGTTATTGTACAGACGAACCGTTCGGTCTCAAGTGCAAGTTGAAAATTGGCAATTTGTACCGGTGTGACTGTAAAACCCACTTTTTAGATTTGTATTGAAAGGTTTTCAGTTAATTTCCCCTAGTATTTAAGTTAATTAAAATAAAGACCGAGTCACACGGATAATTCACGTTTTGACTCAAATATTATAGCTAGATTGCAAAAAAATCAAAATAACTCAGTTAAAAAGCAGTTAAAGCCGCTTTACATTCCAAACGGCAACAATGTGCTAAACTGTTGTAGACGTTGTAGTATGTGTGTATGTATAGCGCACACTAGCGCACTACACACATACACACTATACGACTACCTACGCGAGTCAGTTTGAACCTACTGGTCATTTTGATTTGCCTTTGTAGCCCTGATATAAAAAATGTATTTTTTTTGAAGCCAGGAAAAGAAAGGTTTCGCAAAGCCTCTACAACCCTCATCTGGCTGCTGAAAAATCCTATTGGATCATATTTTATTCCTGCATGCGATGAGTGGTTGTGATACTACTTCTGCATTGTTTAATCAAGGGAAACTGAAATTTCTTAAAGTCTTGCAGAAGAACAAATATTTGCAATCGGTAATTGAATCTTTCAAATACCCTAATTCAAGTCAAGATGAGATTGCCACAGCAGGAAACATGTTTCTCACGGTTCTATATGGAAAAAAAGAGACAAAACTAAACGATTTAAGATATAAACAATACGTATCTTCATCATTCAAAAATAAGACCAACATTTCCTCATTGCCACCAACTGAAGCTGCTGCACGAGAACATTCACTGAGAGAGTTTACTATCAGGTGCAGCAGTGGTTATCCGGTCAGCCACACCTAACGAGCAACAAAAAGACCCAAGTGAGTGGGGATGGCAAAAAACTAGTAGTGGTCTTGTGCCAGTACCAACTACTTTGGACCCTGCACCAAACTCAATACTCCGGTACATTTCATGTAAATGTAAAAAGGGCTGTCAACGCAATTGTGGATGCAGGAAGGCGGGACTCCATTGTTCCCAGATATGCGCATCATGCGAAGGACTGTGTAACAATGTTGAGCCCCCAGAAGACAGCTCTGACATAGACGTAGAAGAAACTGAAGAAAGAGGGAGAGGTATGTTGGATATGACAAGTTATTTTGTAGTCATTCATCTCTCCTTGATATATGATATGTGTCTCTCCTCTTTTCATTTTCCAGGAGAACGACTCCCGACGCGCGACGATGGAGCAATCAGACCCTGAGCCAGGACCCGATGCCATCGAAGAACCTCACTACGATGCGGAAGGTATGTTTAATCTCACAATCTATTTGCAATCTTCATCTCTTCTTGATAAATGACTTAACTTTAAACTTTTATTTTCCAGAACAAGCAGAACCAGGACTCACCGTTATCGAAGAACCTCAGCCAGGGTCTTCCAAAAGACAACGGCTCATATAAATTTTGCATATTATAATTTATAATCATAATAATATATGATCATAAGTAACGAGATTTTAAGTTTTATTTTGTTACGAGTTCTACCTACCTACTGAATTTGCATAATTTTTCCCTTTTTTCTTTTTAATTACTTGTGTGGAAAACTAGGTGACATTTATCAAATGACAGCATCCATAAAAATTAAATATTAAAATGTAAAAAGTGGGTTTTGCATAAAATGCTAAAAATTTACAATTTTCAACTCGCACTAGAAACCGAACGATTCGTCTGAAAAAAAAACTAAATACTGGTATTTGTAGAAAATTTCAAGTACTTTAATTTCTGTAAACAGACCATTTACCAAAAGTTGATAGTTTTCGAGTTTTAAGCAAAAAAACCGAAAAAAGAAGAAAAAAAAACGGTTTATTCTGTTTTTTTTTAATGTTGCGTCACGAAATTTTGTCCGCAAACACCAGATTCGAATTAACAACCCCAAAAAACATATGGAATGAAAAAAATCAGAACTACCCCAAAACTTTCCTAGCAAAAATACAATTTAACTGAACTATTAAATGAACTTTAATTATATCTTATCCTAATTATTAAAAATATTGTACAAAAATTATTATATATTATTATTAACTAACTGACCTAAAATTAAATAATGTATCAAAGTTCAATAGGCTCGTTTTTCGAGTCAGTTAAAGCAGAAATCTCTGGGAAATGAAATAAATTCGGTCTAGGTGCCAATAGCCACTTTACCAATATCTAACAACTGCTTCAAAAACACAATTGCACGTTGATCTTGTTGCAAAAACATTCGCATTTTATTTGTCAATTGGAGCGTCTTTAGATACCGTCACAAATTCGAGGATGTTAGGCATGCGTTTAGTTCGTCGGCAGCAGTTAATTGGAGAATAATTATTAAATAAGGAACAGTCTGAAAATATAATCTCTTCTAAAAATGTTTTAGATTGTCACGAACATCTTTCAAAGTTCTGTTCAGTCGTTATAATCATCTTTGTGGCCAAGTGTACATTCGTCACTGATCAATGGTTTAGCCATAATTATAATTAATATCACCATAATTTATTATATTGTATTCTAGTTTATTTCATTGTATTCTATTTTATTTTAATTTTATTTTACTCGATTTTATTCTAATTTATTTTATTTTATTGTATTTTATTCTATTTGACTCTTATTTTATTCTATTTTATTAACCTTATTAACTGGGCTGTTAGTAACCCAATCTTTTCGAAAACCGTGTTTTCGGCGGAAATGATAAAGGCAGGAGGAAAAAGACTACACAAGGAGATACATAGCCTGATAAAAAGTATATGGGAAATAGAAAGAATGCCAGAAGAATGGGTCAGGGCAAGGATATGCCCTATACATAAAAAAGGTGACAAAATGAGATGTGAAAATTATAGAGGTATCGCGTTGATACAAGTCGTGTACAAAATATTGACAAACATCAACAGAAAACAGCTGAATCCGGCAACAGATGTAGGCACTAATGAAAGAAATGGGCCTACCATACCAAGTAATATCGTCAGGATGATAAAGATGACTATGGATAACTTCACAAACGAAATAGCATGGAAGAGACATAAATCAAATAATTTCGAAACAAAGGAAGGATTAAGACAAGAAGACCCACTATCAACGACTCTTTTTAATGTAATACTGGAAGGAATGATTAGAAACAGTAAAATAAACAGACAGGAAACAATTTTTAAAAATGGCCATCAATGTATAGCATTTGCGGATGATCTAACACTATTAACAACAAGTAAGAAAGAGTTAAAAAAATTAATGAGCAATATAACACAAGAAGCAAAAAATTTTTGGTCTTCTCATAAATAAGGAAAAGACAAAATACATGATAATGGGAGAAACAGATAAAGAAAAAGGAGAGACAATGTCACATTGGGGGTAGAAGGAGAGAATTCATGTGCGTTTAAAATAGTTTCAGAATTTACTTACCTAGGTGTAAAAGTAGATGAAAATGGACATGGGGAAGGGGAGATAAAAGCAAGAATAGCAAAAGCAAACAAAAAGTATGGAGCATTGCGTCCATTAATGAAATCCAAATATGTCTCAAGAAAAACAAAAATAAGAATCTACAAAACAGTTATCAGACCTACAGCTACATATGCATGTGAAACATGGGTGCTCAAAAAATCAGAAATAGACCTTTTAAAGGAAGAGGAAAATACAACGAGCAATATATGGAGTGGTGAAAATAGATCGGACAATGGAAAAGAAATAATAAGGAACTTGAAGAACTATATAATGAACCAAAAATAACGACGGCAATCAAAGCACGGAGAATCCGATACTTAGGACACATCGAAAGACTGGGAAAGGCGAGAATGCCAAAAATGGTTCTACTACGTAAACCAATACAAAAAAGACGAATAGGAAGACCAAGAAGGAGATGGAAGGACAACATATATGAAGACTTAAAAAAAATAATATTGTAAACTGGAAAGAAAAAGCTTTGGACAGAAAACAATGGAAGTAAGTGGTGAAGAAATGTATGGAAAGACTATAAGGAATATTACGTGTAGTATTAAGTAACTGTTTTATATAAACAAATGTAATATTGTATATATTATAGTAGTATTATAATACGTAATAGAAATTGTGAGGAAAAATTAAATCTTTCAGCCCTAGGCCTTCAAGACCTGTTGAGCTTAATAAATAATAAATAGTGTTTTCAAACAAAACTAAATGAAATCTTATATTCAAATGAAAAATGTTTAAATTTTTAAAACTCGATTCATTATTATTGTTATTAGTCAAGTTAATAAAAAAAAATTAACAAAGCGACCAATTAACGAATCTAGTTTGGAAATTTTTAATCATTAAATAAGCATTTAATTACTAAGATATAGAATCTGATTTTTAGTTAGGATTACGAACGAATTAAGTCTCTAGGTTATTATCGAATATTTCTTTTACCTATCGCATGGCTGAGTCGCTATGATAAATTGTTTTTTGAATTTTGGAAAGCAAAGGGTAGGAATCCATTATTCGTATTTAGTGGATGTTCATATTTCTCAGGTGTATTGGCGATTACTTCTGCAAAGTCTTCTGTATTTTATATTTCT